CGCCCCGCCTGCCTGCCAGGCTTTGTACTTCTCCTGACTGCTCCCGCCCCGCCCGCCGTGATGGCTTATTGCCTTATTGCTCTAGCTGTGTTACAGAGCCTGCGACACAGTGCGGGGATTTTTAAAGTGACATACTGCCCAGCTTTTTATGAACAGATGCATTTCTATCAGAGGGGAAAAAATGGAAACGCTTAAAAAGGAACCTGTGTCTCCCTGTGTACCTTCTCCCACCTGGCAACACGGTGTGCAAGTTTTTGGGTGGGAGACCATAGAAAGCGTCATTATAAACTGTTTTGAGTAATGTGGACGGGACTTGTCGAGTGCTGGCATGGTGTTAGGTGGCTGTTTTTCCTGTAGCGAGGTTTACTTTGAACTGTTCCCAGAACGCCTCTTTGTGACCTGCTTTAAGAAAAATGGCTGGAACACAGTTCAGTCTGTGGCCGTGGGACAGAGTGGGTGGCAGGTCCCTCGGTCACAGTAAACACAGCTGTGGGCAGCCAACCCGGAAACTGTGTCCACATCGCATTCCTCCCGTACGTTGGTGCATCTGAGCGCGTAGTAAGCTCGAGGTGGAAAGCCTGTAGGAAGCACTGGGGAACAGGTATAATTTCTAGGTTAGGGTGAAAAGTGGGAAGAACGGGAGAGGAAGATGTGCTCCATGGCAGCCCCTAGAAAGTAATGAAAAGCTGCGCAGGATCTTTGACCTGAACCTTCACATCTCTTTTAGAAATGATGGGTATTCATATGTAGTCCTCCTGAAGGGTCCCCAAGATGAAAGCCAGCTTATGCAAGCTATTTCATGTTTATGTTACCCACCTCTGTATTTGCATCAGTTATAAATAGTCTACTGTGGTAAAACTTTTACATAAAGGCCTTTCGCTAAATTGGAAGTTAAATGTTACGGTCTCCAGAAGATAGAGCGTTGCTTTTATATTGCACGAGGATTCTACAAGTACCCAGGTACATCAGAACTTGACTCCAATCCCCCTGGCTCTGTATTTAACAGCTGTTCTATATACTTAGGTGAAAGATGAATCTTTAAACTCGTTAGACAAGGTCCCAGGGGATTTAAACTCAACAGAAAAGCTTTGAGGGGCATGGAGACTGAGAAATACTCACCAAGGTTGGGGCCAGCTGTTAGTGTGGTGAAGGTGCTGGACTCCCATGTTGCTGACCACAGTTCAAATCCCAGACCTGGCAGCTTGAAAATCACACCGGGTGCATGTGCGTGCATGCCCTGAATCCCAGGGGAATGGATAAGGGATGTGGTCATCCCCCATCCATGGGATTTCTTACTTTCCTTCACACTGTCTCTATCTCTGGTGAGTGCACACGCCCTCTAGCAAAAACCTTAAAAAAAGAAAAAGAAAAAGAAAAGGGCCTAAAATAAGTGCCCAGCCAGTCTTCAGCCGCCAGAGTGGATTGCGAGAGCGGCACTGTCTCAGCAGCTCGGGGCTCTTCTGCAGTGGTGTGCAGTATGCGAGGTGCAAGTGTGCTGGGAAAGGACTTCTCCCAGAAGTGTCTTGATGACTCATTTATTCATTTATTTATGTATTCTCTAATTTGCTACAGGGCACGTGCACTCACCAGAGGGGGAGAGGGGGAAGGGAAAGCACTCTCTCCCCAAGGCACCCCCATCTCAGGCTAGCTCCTCCACTCTTCCTTTCGGGGTTTCAGACACAAATGCACACACATGTGCCCGGTGTGTTTCTCCAGTTGCCAAGTCCAAGACTCTAACCACAATTGGTCATGTGCTGTCTTAACCACCAGGCCACAGAGCTGGCCTGGGGCTAGTGTTTTAAAAAAATCCTTCGAATTTTGAAGACAGATTTGGGAACTATTTGTTAAATGTGTTTTGTTTGTGTTCAGAGTATGTGCGTGCTCACCTGACAGAGAGAATGGTGGCGAGCACCTTCCACAGGCTTGGCAGCCCGTGACCCTGTCCTCCAGGTCTCTAGCCCATTGGCTCTTGGGCAGTTGACAGGTGTTCAAATCCCGGACCGGGCCCAGGATTTGAACTGCTGTAGCCATGTGAAATCCATCCTCTCTTCAACAGTGCCTTACTGCTGTACCATGAAGCTGGCCCTAGCCGTGAACTTTTGAGCAGGCACTGTACAACATCTGTACTTGAAGGCCCTGAACACATTAGTGAGAAGCATGTTTACGGTCGGTGTCTGCTAAGAGGGTACAGGCGTCTCCCCAGGAGCATCCAGGCACATGTGCAAGCCCCCATGCATCTTGCAGGACCCCGAAAGTGACTTTTAGAATCATGGGAACAGG